CCCTCTTCTTCATGTCTCTTCTACATCAACATGCGTCCCCTCTTCTTCATGTCTCTTCTACATCAACATGTGAATCTCCTCCTAGAGCACCATTAGGCGCGTTCACACCAAGTACTTTTCCCACAAAGGTTCCACTGAGAACTCTTTAGTTCTGATGAACTAAGTACAGATCGTGTTCACACCGGAAATTAGTCCCTGGGGGTGGATTACGCAAATGAAGCCGCTGACGTCACTTCTTCTTCTTCTGCTGCTTTGGGTTTACTGGCAGGCCGCAAACAACTTCACGGCGTATACTGCCGCCCAAAAGCAGCTTCTACTGAAGCCTTCCGAGTAAACGGCCAGAATGCCGACACCTCCTCATCTCCACCGCTCCCATGTTTTATGTTGTGTTGTCATAAGTTAGTCTCTCTGCGTTTCTGCGCTGGGCTAATGCTAATGCTAATAATACAATGCAAGGATAATAAAATGGCGGCTTCACAAACGTTTTTGGGAGTTTGACGGGGCGTGGTTTGCATTCCGCCCAGCCAATCAGACACAGGAACCTTTTTCTCCCACGAAAGTCCCTGCTCTCTAGCAGGGACTGAAAAGGGGGTAAAAAGGTTCTCTAGAACTAATTTAGTTCCTGGGACTTTTTGGTGTGAACGCAACTAAATCGTAGTTCTCAGGAACCTTTGTGGGAAAAGTACTTGGTGTGAACGCGCCTAATGTCTCTACTCCAGTAAATTGTCTTGTTGATTAGATTAATCAATAAACAAGCAAATTGTGTTAGCAGACGGATCAGGAGGAACATGCAGAATGGTTAAATCAACTTTCTAAATTTCAATACTATTAATGAGCCACCACAGGCCAACACTTCCTTTGTCCAATGACTTGCACACTTCTTCCTGTTGACCTTCCCCTGAGCCGTATGCAAAACATGTCAGTGCTTGCTTTCGGTCTTCTTTGTCTGATGATGTGGAGAATGTGCACAACTCTCTGCAGCGAGCGATAACACACTAATCTGTTTCCTCCGTCAACAGGACAGAAAGAAAAACTCTTCACTTTACGTAAATGCAGCTAAGAGCAACACTATAAATATTTTAAAAGAGAAACAGTATCAAAGTGCAAAGTTATAACCTCATTTAAATAATCATCGCCTCTTACAACTCTCTATAACAGCGGCTTTTAACTCCACCTTTGATTGTGGACATTTGGAACCGGTATATATATATTTATTTTGACTTCATGCATGATCTAACCACCATTGTAGAAACTAGTTTGACCAGTTCCAGACCACATAAGACCGTCTGGTAGGGCTGAAACACTCTCCAGGTCTCACCCAGAGACTCCGTCAGCGTGGCTGCTGGGCTGCGGTGCAGAACGTAATGAACCTCGTCCTTCAGGTGCACAATGGTTGCAAACGACCCGTCTCCTTGTGCCCCGGCGCCCTGGTGAGGAGAAACACTTCTGTTCCCCGTGGCCCCCAGCCTCTCCGCCAGGGGCCAGTTCAGAGCCACGTCCAGCAGGTAGAACCGGAGCGTCCTGTTGGTGTGACAGCGCAGCCCTGTGATGCCTCCCCCCTCCTGAGAGGACGGAGCAAGGGGGGAAGACGGAGGTGGGAGGGGAGCTGCTTGCTCCTCTTTGGCTTGTGATTGGTTGAGCTGAGGTTCTACTTCTCTGCAGCAGGCACTGTATTGGCTGAACGGGCTGTAGCTGCTCAGGAAGTGGCTGCAGCCCTCGGAGGTGTTCAGAGACGCAGCAGGCAGTCGGTGGAGGCAGCAGTGATGGAGATGAGACTGGAACACTTCTCCTCCCTGAGTGGTGGAGGAGAAGGAGCAGCGCACAGAGGAGCTGCTCAGGCTGGATGGTGACAGACGGAGGCAAACCTCACACACACTCGCACTGAACTCTGGGAGAGGGACTGACTGGCAGCACGAGTGGGGGGGGGAGGTTTCCTCTGAGCTGGAGTGGTTAGCGTTGTCACAGGAATGATAACGCACAGCAATGTCTGCAATCTGAAAGACAAAGGAAAGAGAGTTCAGTCAGACAACTCACGTGTTCTTAATATGTTTATTAGAGCAGCATAGTTTGAGTTTGGAGTCTGGGCTCGGGCCTCATCACTCCACAGATTTACAAAGAACATTGAGTGATGATTAGATAACTATCACCCGGGCCTACAGGTGGAGCTGGGGTGGTGGTGTGGTGGTGGGGGGGGCAGGCAAGCAGCAGCAACATGAAACACAGCAGCAGCAGCAGCAGCAGCAGCAGCGAGGCAGAGGCAGGAAGACCTGACAGCTTCAATAGAGCGGCATGTTTAGGAGAATGTGATTGGTTGGTTGTAAGAGGGACGAGGTGCGTCACGTGTTAGTGTATCATTGGTGCTCGAGTTGACTGCCTGAACTAGCTCACAGGCTTCGCCCCATTTGTAATATATATATATATATCATTATTTATTTGTAACAGGTGTTCTTGGTACAGACATCTGGGTTAAGGTAAGACAGGTTTAATTACATAGCAGTTTTCAAAAACAATAGTCAATTTAATCTGTTTACATAATAATGCAATCTGTGAAATTACAAAAATAAGCATTTTCTTCAATTCAATAACTCAAAAGGAAAGTGGTTCCAAAGTGCAGTGCAGGAAATGTAATAGATATTGGTGGAAAAGGGAAAGGTTTTAAATCTTGTCTTGTTGTTTCAGGTAGTTTATTCCAGTTATGAAGTTCAAATTATGTAACTTTTTATTATATCTTAACTTAGTACTTCTTTTTAATGCATGTCACATATTTAACATATGTAACATTAAGCTCTCTGTGGCTCTTTTTCCTGCTGCAACTACGCAAATGTCCCCTCCGTGGGACTAATAAAGGTATTCTGATTCTGATAAATATATAATAAGATAAAATATATATGATGTAAGTGAATAATAGAAATATACAAAAAGAAAGCTATGAAAGACCTAAAACAGAGCCCTGTGACAGGAAGTAAAGGATCGAGTTTCCATCTGAAATATTTCTTTCTTTTGTTCAGGTACAACTGAAACCTGAGGCCTTTCAATTGTCTCTGAGGCTATCCATCCTGAGAAACTGAAGAAGGATTCTTTAGTCCGTTGTATGAAAGGCAGCCTTAAGATCACGTCCGCTCTCTATGTGAGCTCTCTCTTGATGCTCACCTGCTGCAGCATTGGACTGGGTTTGGTCCCGAGTGGGTTGTGCGGCAGGAACAGCAGCAGAGCCGGACCTTTACTCAGCTCGTGCTCTAGGAGGCGGGACTTAGTTCCTGGAGGCTGCAGCCATTGGAGGACGGTCTCGCGGTGTTCAAACACCCAGCTACATATGGCCTCTGACGTGAAGTTGCGTTCCCTTCGAGGGAAAATCTGACGCAAGAAAAAAATAAATAAATAAACGGGATTGTTAGCATTCATCCGAAATGAAAGTCAAATGTAACTAGCATTTCATTATTCCAACAACAGCTTCTTGGTGACATTGCTTACCAATGAGGAGTTAAATCTTCTGTTGAGATAAACAGATTCATCTTCTTTAAGAGAGATGGCCTCGGCCACCTGCTTGTTGGTCACAACGCCGAAACGTACAACACCACGGAAATCTGCACCGGAAAAACATAGAGACTGAGGACTGGATTGGACATTTCTTATTCAGGGTATATGCAGGAATCCTGAAGTCAAATGTAAAACCTTTTAAAACCTTTTTTAAGACCCTTTCCAAACATTTTAAGACCTCATCGCCACTTCGAGTTCTAACCGGTTACCTTGGCGACACACTTTACCTCACATTTACTATATACAGTATTGATTGTCCTTCCTCCTTATCCTCCAACCATTTGGACGCAGACTTGCATTTCCCCATAACGATGTTGTTTAACAACCGGCGTAAACGGACCTTCACGCGCTATCAAGCAGTGAGCGTGCGGTGTCCTGTTCAGATGACGTGAAATCCATTCAGGCAGACTGTAGAATACAACCTCTTTGGACTATTTATATACTTATTGAAAACAAGCTACAAAATGTAATACCTTGGGAAATGCCGTTTAATACTTTTTAATAGCCTTAATTTTCGCTAAATTGATTTATCAACTTTTAATACTTTTTAAGACCCCGCGGACACCCTGATGTTCCATATACTACTTACTGCTATTGTCAATCATATGCGTTTTCCATAAGCGAGCTATATCTATCCTACATACTTGACACACATACGACTCTACGATCTTCAGTTCCGATTGATCATCATCACTTACCCCTTTTCAGGGCCTTCAGGGCAGAGGAGAGATACGTGATGTACCCCGGGGGCTGAGGAGAGGAGTTAAACTGGAAGAAGCCCACCACTCGAGGCTGGAAACAAACAAGAGACAACCAATTAGAATACACCATATTGAAATATAGCCTTAGACAGTTTAACACTAAGGTTGATCCACAGATCTTATTTGAGCAGCTTGCATAACTGTAACTGCACACACTGTGAAGATCAAACTGATTCTCCATCAAATGGCCTGAAGGGCTGGCTTATCTAAAGCCAGTTGAGTAGCACTTGAAATGTTTGGCTCTATGAAACCTGATGCACTTATATGATTCTGTTTTCTTCAAGGTTGTATCTTCCTGGTCGAATGCACTTACTGTAAGTCGCTTTGGATAAAAGCGTCAGCTAAATGCAATGTGATGTAATGTAAAAGTCAAACAGTACCTCGTGATAGGAGAGAAACTCTTTGAGTGCGTCTCTCGACGGGAGGTAAGTGAGCGGTGTGATGACTCGGAGGATAAAACTCTCCACATATGGAGCTACATACGGACCCTTGTACTCTATAGGCCCAAACCTGCAGCAAGGAAACACAAAGACAAAGAACATCGTGGATCAATAAGATGACCTCACACCAACAGCTCAAATGTACCAATCAAATGATTTTAAGGTTGTCTACTACGTGGACTGATCATGAGACGAGACGCATAAACTATTTCTAATCATTGCCATGTGAGTTCGTTATCTAACTCTTGCAAAATGTACTGAAGTGGAAACTGAAATGTCGATTAGTGTGCACTCTCCTGGTAAACAAATAAACAGGATTTGAATAGCTAAAAACCTGTAGTGAAAGTAGGGGGGAAAACATGGACACATTATCCACTTCTCAGGACAAAATGCTAATCATTTACTGGTCCCTGCTTCTTAAATGTAAGTATTCATATCTTTAAATGTTGTCCGAATGGAACTAGAAATGTGAAGATGTGACTTTGGGAAAGTAAGAAAGTGTGTCAGCAATAAGATGACTCATTTGGTCTTGTTAGAAACGTCATTATGTGTTTTTAAACCACATTAATCCTATTAATTGAAGCCAGAGTGTCAAAGTGAGAACTCTGATAGGAAGGGCGTCTTACCTTCTATAAAACAGGTGGATGATCGGGTACTGATAGAAGCGGTTTTGCTTCCTACATTTCCCATGATTCCACCAACAGTTAACAGCTAGAAACTGCACCTGTGTGTGTTTGTTTAGAGAGAGAGAGAAAGACATGGAACAACTATTTCCATAACACAGACCAGGTATAGTGTGGGGCGTTGTCAGAGAAACGTCCGTCCAGGTGGTATTCAGTCTCATTTACATAACACGTTAGCATTAACTCTGAGCCAGAGGAACATCCTCCCACCAGTCAGACACATTGCAGTAAACAGGATTTTCACGCTGAACTTAAAGATGGGTTTGACTTTATAACTCCAGCAGATTTCTATAAACCTCACAATAACTGAGCTGCTCTTTGCGGCTGGTAGCGTATTTAGACTGTTCTCAAAACATTACGATTACTACTGTTAACTATATTTACTCTCGTACATGTATTCTGTAACTCATAAGCATGCCACTATAACAACACATGTTCTGCTACCTTATCAGTGATCATACACACGCGCTGTAATGAATGGTGCCATTTGGTATGGAAACACTCCTGCAGAGTGCACGTTGTGACCCCTCAGGTGTCCTGTACCTGTTTAGCGAGCTTCTTAGCCACCTGCTGCACTTCCTGCCTGGCAGCCATGGAGTGCGCACACCACGGTGCATAGAAGAAGATCAGAGAAACCTCCGCCACGCTGCGGAGACGCTCCACCTGCAGAGGAGATGGTAACGTTATTGATAAGTTATTGACTTTGCTAGATTGTAGTTCTCAATGAATGCATTATTATTATTAAAGACTGACAATTGAAGTAATACTTTAAAGCGGATGTGTGTCTCTTGGTGTAAAGAAGTGGAATTCTTTACTGAATGATTTAAAGGGCTGTAAGAACATTGTTAAGTTCAAGAAAAGGTATAAAGAAAGCGTATTTAGACAGATGAAGTTGACTGTTGATTGTGTTCTCGTTCAGTATTTGTAAGCAACTGTGACTGAAAGAATATTGCTTTTTAATGGTTATTTCATTTGATTTATTTGTTATTTTTTTGTAAGAAGGGGCAGGTCAAATAAGATTTTCTTCCCTCTGCTCCTTTCCAAAAATTAAAACATTATAAGTGTACTTGTTTTGTTTTAAAATAACTCACATGTGGAAAAAACGAATAAATACAATTTTTTTAAAAGTACTTTGAGAAACTATTAGCCGACTCATCGAGCTGCAGACATGTTATTATGTAAGGCAATGGCAAACTAATGTGCATGAGAGTTGGGGAGCAGTCAGGTGAAAGCTACATTAGGAAACATTTGAGTAAGTTTCACGCACATGAAATGTAATGAAGACTACATGTAAGCTGTATGTACTCTGCAGCCTTATGTTGCTCCTTTGTTGTGACTGTCCTCATATCCATTCAACAAGTAGTATGTATCTGCGTACATTTCAGGAACACTTGACTCCGGTGTGTGTGTTTCTCACCTGGTCTAGCTGACCCAAGTACAGATCCACTATCGGGGCCTCGGCAGAGAAGAACCGCACCGGAGGCCGAGCTGCTGCCACCACATTCTTAGCACGGCTACAGGAAGGACAGATTTCAATGTAATTACAAAGCAATTAGGTTCCCTCTATCAGGCAAAGCACTTCGCCTCTGGGGTTGACTTGACGGGCAGGATGTGTCTGAGATCAATCGTGTACAATATGCAATCAATCCAAAGATAATTTAAGATGGAAAGTATGTGCTGTTAAGTGCTCTTATGAATTGTTAATCAATTAATAAGTCAGTGGACTGAAAATGAATCACTGACAAGTTTGATAACTCTTTATTGGATTGTATTTATTTAGCTAACATACCAGGAGTTATGTAATTTAAATCTATTTGGTTTTGGACCTTTGATCAGACAACAAGAGCACTTTCAAAATGTATTATTACTTTGGGCTCAGAGAACTTGCGATGGAGTTATGTTTACAATAAATGGGTATACAATATATTTAAGATCAGCTGCAGATCATGGAGACCTCAACTGGTTTATGGGAGCAACTAACAATTATTATAAATTCATGTTTTGTTCAGGAAACAGTCCAGAACCCAAAGATAATCCTTCTTTGTACTATAATGATTAACAAGGAACGCTAGGAAATCTTTTGACTTGAAGAGCTGGAACTAGATACTGATTAATAAAGACAAATGATTGACCAAAATAATTGGTTTGACTTATTGTTTTCACTTCTTTAGCTGCTAATACTTGTTTGACTTGTACTTCAATAACAACTTGAACGTCTTGCTTAAATGTTTACAATACTCAATATTCCCCCACAACCAGCTAAGCAGGATGTGTCTTAGATCATTTGTTTGCTATTTGCTTCAAGTTTCTGTCTCCCCAGCTGAACCTCCACAGCTGGCCTCACAGGAACATACATGTGTTGTTTACTACAGAGTTATGACGTGAACACTGTTGACTTAAGAGTCATGTACAAATACAGACGCGCAAACCGTATTAAAACTAAGAAATTAAAGGTATGATAGACTCCTGGGAAAAGGACTGTCTGTTTAAAGTGATTATAGCATTAGTTAATCCTCCTGTCCTGCAGTACACGCCAGTATTAGATTAACTCCACAGCATTATGAAGACCCTAATTACTTCCAAGTAGCTACATTGTAATTAGGTGGAGCTAATTTACGACTTTTCAATGCTACAACATGTATCTCTCAGCAAAGTAACCCACATGTTGAGTCAGTTATGGTTGTCTCATGTTAGCCTGGTGGTCACAAAAACACACTATAAACTAAGTGTATGTTAAGGCAGCTAAGTGTGTTACCTGCATGTGAACTTGACGGCCAGTACGAGCAGCACTCCGAGCAGCACAGACCCGCAGAGCAGCCCTGGTCTCCGGGCCATCAAAAACAGCACCTGCCGGAGAGAAGACTGCCGCACCCGGCGCAGCATTACAGGCGGTCGGCGGCTCTCCCTCCCATTTATACTCCCCGGCTTACGGCTCTCTACGCGTCCATTTGCCTACCAAGGGGCGGAGAGGAGGACTGGTTCGACGGGGAGGAGGAAGGAGCTAACCTGGATTGGACATATGTGCTGCTGGTATTCAAACACGGTCACACCAACCTTTCTTTCCCACGTAGACTTTTCACTTCCGCAACAATGACGTAAGGGAGGGACCGTCAAATGTTGTTAGCTGTTTAAAGCGCACGGTGCATTTAAAAATTAAGGACATATGGGTAGAATAACATACGGTATTTTGGTTGAATGAGAAATAAACGGGTTTATATAATTATAATGCTTTAATATTTGGACATATATTGTGTTTTTAATAGTTTTTTGGTGTTGAGTCTTTCTTGCTGTTTTGAGACAGTCCCTACGTTGTTGTAGTGACAGCCGTTGCTGCCATGACGATGGTCGACCACTAGAGGGCGGTCGTTTAAAGCAAACGGTGCATTTAAAAATCAAGGAGAACTGGGTGAAATAAAATAGGGTAGCCTACTTTGATGGAACGCGAAATAAATTTGTAAAAATGTATCATGTTTTAAAAACTGCAATATAACTATATTTGTAGTTATTTTTGCGTATCGAGTCTCTCCCTGCTGTTTCCGGACAGTCCCTATTTTTGTAACTACAGCCGTTGCTGCCATGACGACGGTCGAACACTAGAGGGCGGACGTTGTAAAGTTTTCAATCAATCAAATCGTTTTAAATAAGATTAAAGTTATGATTCATTGTTTTTGATTACATTTATTAAAAATGACTACAGTGACACCTTCATTGGCAATGACAATCTTGGATCTAAGGCTCTCTCCAACAATGCCTGGTAAATATATATAAGTAGGCGGCCTATAGGAAACAAATAACATGTACATGATTAAAAGCCAAATCAGCATTTTAGGCATCAAATCATTTTATTTACCTTTCATGTGAGGTAAACTCCCCTTCTGGGAATTATGAAACTGTGTGGACAGCTACTACTCAAGTATTTGAGAAGAAAGGCATTTGTTTAATATTATACATTTTTAAAAATAGTTCACATAATAGCATCTCCAGAGCCTTGTTGATATTGCCCTTATAAACATTTTTATCTTATGTTTAAATGACGTAAATGACTATTTCACGAGAAAATAATCCACACAACCCGATAGCATTATTTAAAAATCTTTATTTGTTGTCATTATAGAACATTAAAGAACAAAATCACAGTGTATAACTCTTAAGTGCAAAAAATGTAATAAAAAAAATAAAAGTATTTGATTAGCTCTACCTACCCGTCACATGGAAATGTATACTGCAAACAAAAGGTTTCTGAACAATAAAAAAAGAATGTGCAACACAATATTTGTCAGCAAGTACAATCTGCTCCGAACAGTTTCTACTTAGAATCATAGGAATTAGAACATATCTTTTATAAGCATCTCCATTTTTTTAAGACCATATGTTTTATTTCAATGCTAAATGACACATGAATAGAGTGCCACAGTGACGCGTCCTAAAACCCGGAAGTAAACTCCTTCCGGTCCCTTCGACAAAAACCAATGCAATTTCTCCATAGGATTTTGGAAAATAGCTGGAAATAAGGTCTGTGGTTGACACACATTGAACAGACCGATCACGTTTTGTTCAGCCGGATAATATCCATATGTCTACCCTACTTTTATCATTTTCTAATCATAAATCTATCGATTATTTTCCAAAATCCTATGGAGAAATTGCATTGCTTTTTGTCGAAGGAACCGGAAGTGGTCAAATGCTAACTTACTTCCGGGTTTTAGGACGCGTCACTGTGGCAAAGGGAAATGGGCATCTTGACTTCCTGAATCACGCTTCATTGTTGAACATTTGCTCATAAAGACGCCATTTTAGTTTTTCTTCACATCAACTGTAAAGCCTGAGGTTTCCGTCAGGCTGCAGAACTACAAGCCTCAACATTTGACACATTTCACAACCATATCACCAAACCTCGCATGGGGAATTTTCCGAGAGCTCTGTGGCACTAGGACTGCATATAAAGCCAGGACTGCACTGCAATGATTTAAATTCATGCCAAATAAGGATTGCTATACAGTACACGTATAATTCCAAAAAAAATTAAATTATTTTTGAACCAGCAGTTTTTTTATTTTAATTTGTTTTGGATTACATTTAATAAAAGAAGCCAGACAAAAATGCATGTACTGATGTTTTAATCCACCTTCAGGCAGCATATGCGTCAAAAAAGCTCTCCTCTCATCGGATAACAGCCCTCTCTGTGCTACAAAGCTTTCAGAAAATTACTTAAGAGGCCAGGCAATTTCTTAACTGCCCTGTCGACCATCTAGGCAATGTGGTTTGTGAATGCACTGTGCACGCAGAGAGAAATCACTGCAGTAATCAATAACATCACAGATATTTCAGCGATTCTCATCTTGTTGGTTTTGTTTCTTGTACAAAAGACTCTCTTGTTCCACATGGCAGCCATCCAGCAGAGTCAAGTCTTGGAAGCGAGAAAACTTCCTTGCCAACAGCGAGTAAGCCAGTCTCATATGAGTATACTGCTGAAAATAAACGCCCTCTCCTCTTCAGCAACTCTTGATATTTGCTGTGAACTGTATGGTATTAATGGAGCACTGTTAGCATGCAGTTTGTTACAGAGCCTGTGTTTCTGGGTGCATTAGCTGCTGCACCACCAGGTCTATATTAATGATGGGACTGAAGTACAGAGCCCAGTAGAAGAGGCAGTTGCACACAAACTGAGGGAAAAAAGGCCACAGGAGGGCGAAGGCAAACCCCTGAGAGAGCATCTTCCACAAGTGGTTCCACATCTTGCGTGGCATAGCCCTAAGGAGAGAGGAACATAGAAGTCAGTGAATAAAGTCTTCTCCAACTCCGAAACCAACTATAACTTCATTTGTAGCTTTAAGAGAACAATGCTTATCTTCAGGTTGTATTTTGTGCTTCTACTGTGACATGTTTACATGCTTTAATGTTCAGAACGTGTTTTATTTTTCTCATGCTGCAGCACTTCTTTTCACCCTGTATGTAACCAGGACGTAATCTACTCTTTTTCCAAGTGTCCTTACACACAAGAGGCGACTTAAAATGTATTTAAAAACATAAAAACACAGAACATAAAACCCCCTGCCAAGTGTTTACCTGATGCTGGCTCTCGCCCAGAGTCTCCACAGTGCGCAGCCCTCCAGCACGGACAGCAGCATGGCGTTCACGATGATGAAGCGAGACGTCCAGTAGTGCACGGCCAACCAGTCCCAGGCAAACTCTGCTATCAGCTGGTATGGGAGCAGGAGGTACTTCACAAGAAACTCTCCCCACTGCCGCCAGCTGGGCTCCATCTGACAAACACAGAAACATCATATGAAACAATTAAACTGGTATGAATGTTAAATATATGAGTAGAAATAAATTGTACAGTAATTAAATATCCTGCATTATATTTGTTACTGGAAATTTGTGTTTCCACTTGTACATTTTCCACATGTATATATTTCTTTTAACTTTTTAAATTTGTAATGCTATTTTATTTATATTTCTGAAATATTTCGGAATGTTTATTTCTTGTGTCTTAATTTCTCTTATGTATATTGCCTTGTGTTTTTTATCCTGCTGCAACGAAGACATTTCCCAAATTGGGATCAATAAAGTATATCTATCTATCTATCTATCTACCTAACTATCCATCTATCCATCTAACTAACTATCTATCTATTCATCTAAATCTAGTTACCTCAATGAAGTACATTATATTTACATGCAAGTGGACGATGAGATGTTAAATCAAGATAGTCGTTGATGTGATATTTTTGTCGGAATAAGGTTACAACATATCATTGTTAGAGTACTGCCTATTTAACATTTCCAAAATATTCTTATTTTTTATTTCAGTGTGTGATCATGGGGAAAGATGACCCGAAACCCCAACTTTGAAGAGGACCTAAGAGAAGGATACACCAAGTTTGCAAAGTGTCACCTGTGTGTTGAGGAAGCTGCTCTCCACTGACTGTCCGATGTTTGTGATGGCCGGACAGCAGGTGTGCAGGAAGGGCAGGAAGGTTTCCGAGTAGTCGAATAAATACAAATAGAAGAGTGTGAGGCGGGGGGAGCGCTTCAGCGCGTACAGCAAGAACAGCGACTTCCCCGCATTAGTAACCTGGCAGAACGTAAGAGAAGAACAGGTATATAGAGTAAGAGGACAGTCATTTGTGTGAGAAATATGACAAATACTATCTGGAGATTCAGTGAACTCTTCAATAGGCGCTTTCACACCGGAGTACTTTTCCCAGTATAGTTCCGATAGTTCTTGAAATGTTGCGTTCACACCAAAAACATCCGGAACTAGAACTTAGTTCATGAGAACCTTTCCCCCCCCTTTTTAGTCCCTGCTAGAGAGGTGGTACTTTCGTGGGAAAAAAAGGTTCCCATTTCTGATTGGCTGGGCGGATTGCAAACCACGCCCCGTAAAACTCCGAAAAGTTTTGTGAAGCCGCAGTTGTATTTGCTGGCATTAGCATTATTAGCATTAGCCCAGCGCAGCAACGGAGAGAGACTAACTTATGGCAACACAAAAGAAAACATGGGAGCGGTGGAGATGAGGAGGTGTCGGCGTTCTGGCGATTTACTCGGAAGCCAGTCCCCAACTCCGGGGACTTCGGGTGGCAGTATACGCCGTGAAGTTGTTGACTAAGGCCTGCCAGTAAACCCAAAGCAGAAGAAGAAGAAGAAGAAGTAACGTCAGCGGCTTCATTTGCCTTATCCTCCCCCAGGGACTTATTCCGGTGTGAACGCGATCTGCTCTTTAGTTCATCAGAACTAAAGAGTTCTGATGAACTAAGTACGGAAAAGTACTTGGTGTGAAAGCGCCTAATA